AAGTTTGGAAACGAAACCAAGTTTGAAGAAATCTGGGTTTGTTTGTAAACTCTTTCAAACTCTTAGAAATTTCTTCCGTCGAAATCTTCGGTTTATTCTCCACGATAGCAAGCAGAGCGTTTTCATCAACCACACTCCGGGCGACCTTGGATGGTCGCCCGGAGTGTGGTTGATCTTTTAGGTTAAAACCACTTTTTGATCGCTGGAGAACGATCCAAATAAGCCTTCTGAATGTTTTGTGCCGCATTTCCGATGTTTACACCTTTTCGAAATTCATAGAGCATAATATGGCGAAAGTGCATTCGCCTGTGAACAAAACGTAAACATTACACAAAGACCTACTCGCAACTAAACGATGTGAAGTTTCAATCTAGGACATGTCAGAATCTGGCGCAGAAACAACTGCCAGTGTCAAGTTCCGGCCATTTTATATGAACAATGAAAATCAGGCATGAATTTTTGCAATGATCTGATAATTAGAAACCAGAAAATTTCATTGGAAATAAAGAAGTCCCTGCGTACACCCGGGTTTGTTCTAGGCTAGACTGTTTTATACCGGGTTACAAAATGGACGAGGCTAGGATATATCCCAGTTGTAGCAGATATTTCTTGGGGCCGTCCTATAGTCGTCAGTTTTATTCCGATTCCAAGGTGTGCACAATAGTAGACCCAATATCTGGGTGTCTATTGATTTTGTTCAAAATCGTTGAAAAAAGGTCATTTCTGGGATTGATCTGTGTTGTTTTACGTACGAAGCCTGCGAGCCACAATTTAATTTATTTGCGAACAAGTTTGTCTACTTTAAAGCAACCAGTTTTTTTTTCTTTTACCGAACATCTGTATTAAATAAGACCAATTCCTTTTTAGAAACAAGCACACTTGATTTCATATCAGCCATATCATGTTTGTAAGCTGGAACCATCCGATAAGATTCTTGTTGAGACAAACACTTTCTGTTACTAATAGTAAATGTAGATATATACCGGTGGGTTGAGAGGGGAGTGATTCTCAACCGACGTGTCGCGGCACATTAGTCTGCCGCGGAATCCACTTACGTGTGCCGTGAAATATTGTCACTTCATACATATGTGTGTGTGTGTGTGTGTGTGTGTGTGTGTGTGGAAGTAGTAACAGTACAGCATTAGTATTTGAATAAATATAAATAACATCAAAAATAAGAAGCTAGAATGACCATGCGCAACTAAAGAAGAAATGAGTGTCTGCTTATCGCACATTCGATGAAATATTGAAAAAATCGCGGCAAAACACCAGGCTGCAAAGGTTTTACACTAAATAAACTGCACAAATAGTTAAATAGAAACATTAAAATAAAGTAAGTTCATATTTGTGTATGCATCTTTTTAAATCTATGGTTTTATTTCATACACTTTAAACATTTTGGTAAGTTTTCCGTGATATTTTCATTTGTTCCTAGGTGTGCCGTTGCTTTGTTGAGAAATACTGGTTTAAATAATGATATCTACTCATCCTAGAAATTCAGACAGTTTTTCTTGTCATATATATATATATATATATATATATATATATATATATATATATATATATATATATATATCGGCAGATAAGTGTCGAGACCAAAGTATTGTAGCCGTATCTATTAGTAACGTGTGAAATTTTTTCATACATGTTTTGTTCAAACGGTAGACAGATTTAACAACCATCTGTATTTCACCTAACCTGGAGTGACCTTTTTATCTTTTTAAATTATGATATTGATTCGAGTGTAAGAATTGATAACATGCTCGCAGACACGTGTTTAGATAGATAGATAGATGGATAGATAGATAGATGAACATAAAATAAATGGACCACACACACACACACACAGACATATATATATATATATATATATATATATATATATATATATATATATATATATATATATAATTGCCCCATCGGGCAACAACAAAGAGAAAGGACAATAGTCTGAATGTAAATAGTGTAAATCCCTGATTCTCAAGTGAGTCGTGCGATTTTCTTAAGTGTACCGCGAAATATTGAATAGAAACATTGAAATAAAGTAAGTTCATATTTGTGCTTTTTTAAAAAGTCTATTTCATAACATTTAAATGTATAATCTTTAACGATTTTGGTAAGTGTGCCATGATATTTTCCTTTACTCCGAGGAATTCCCCTTGTTTAAAAAGTTTCAGGAACAATGAGTTAGAGTTAGGAGTGTATAGTTTAGACTAAGCATTTTCATACCCCGGGGTATGACTGGGTTCTATAGCCTTGGCAGCAGGTCTAGGAGAAAGTAACTCTAAATTTAAAACTGTATGTAGCCCTGGCGTAGCACATACTATACAGATAGACAGGATTGTTCGCATTGGCTCGATGTTCCCGACTTCGGTCGAATGATGAGTATGTATGTATGCATGTATGTATATTTGATAATATGCCACCCGCTGTTGGACCTCTTAAGTGTCCTGTTTGTGCCAGAGTATCTAGGTCCCTTGCTAGGCTAAAGAGCTACATTTTTTCAGAACAGCAGTAGATTTTCTTCAGAAAAATATCTAGTGATGGCCGGACTCGGACACGAGTTGGCAAACCACCATGTATGTAGTTGGTTGTATCCATTGAACAAAAGATTAGATGTAAATTTTATTAATCAATCGGGTGGGTGTCTCCGGAAAAAAAAACACTGATACATAAAGAAGAAAAAAAAGGAACAGATAGCCGCTTTAAAAATATTATGCTTATTATCTTCCATAAAGCTGTTATGATAACGGTTGTCGGAAAACAAATTACGAACGAAAAGATAATGCTTGTTTGTAAAAGTTAAAGAATTATAAAATACAATGCTGTTCGATAAAAGTGACTCACCTGATTTTTTTTACTTAATTTCTTTTTTTTGCCTATTGTTTTATATTATAGTTTTGGATATAAATGAGATTTAGGGAAAAACTCTGTGCCAAAAATGTGACTCACTTATTTCCTGCAACTAGTAATCAATAGAAACATAATCGAACAGCTTTAAATAAAGAGGTATAATTTATTTATAATAGGTAATATAGTTCTAAATATTTAATAATCTATGGGTCCTCCTTTATTTTGAATAACCTTTTCAACCCTTTTTGGCATTGATTTGATTAGGTTCTGGCAAATCTCATCTCTAAGCATTGAATTCTATTCGGATATGAAATTCACAATCAAATCCTCTCCGTTGCTGCTTTCTCGAGAGCCTGTACTTTATAATGCTCTATAAGTTTTCTATGGGGTTGAGGTCAGGAGATTGGGGTGGCCATGTCTTAACACTCACCTGCTTCTCATCAAAGTATTCCTTCATCAATTTTGTTTGTGACAGGGAGCATTATCTTGCATAAAAATGAGCTTGGTGGGGTCGATTTGCACCCTTTCAGCAGAAGGGAGCAAACAAGACTCTAAAATTCTCTTGTACTGCTCGCTCCTGAGGGTCTTTTCAATAGGTTTTCAGAAACCAGTTCCATGAAAAGAAAAGCATCCCCAGAACATTATACTGAACGGATGCTTGACAGTACTTACTGCTAAATTCAAAGAGCTTTCAAAGCTTCTTCTTCGGGTTTTAGATCGCTTATCCTTTGAATTTAGCTCAACTTTCGTTTCATCGGAGAAGAGAATATTTAGTAAAAAAAAAATCAGGTGAGTCACTTTTAGCGAACAGCACTGTATACCCATTTTTTTAAGAAAATGTAACAATTTATTTTAACCTCCGAAAGAAGTTCGAATCTATAGAATTAGTAAAAAAAATAATAATCATTAAAAAAAATAAGACATTTTTATTTTACAGTGAAGTTCACCTTGTACAAGGCCTGGGAGCCACTCAAGATAGAGTGTTACATATTTAGAGGTACTGTTTATACTGATATTTGTGGAAAATAGACGTTAACACTCATCATCATCCTTCGACCTCCGTGTTTGGTCGAAACTCTATTAACAATCCCTTTCCACAATACTCAGTCCTGCATTGACTTCCCCAGATCCCCAATGTCCTACCCTAACGGGACTTAGGGTAGGACATCCATGAGGTCTGGGAAAGTCAATGTTCGTGAGAAGATACTTCCTAAAGGATGCCATAAGAGTAATGGTGAGTCGTCCTCCACGTCTGCTCGGTGACAGCGGCCGGAAAAATGCAATCGCTTTTGTTTGAGCTTAACAGGAACTGGTCTCAGTTCTCCGTAAATTGTGTTAAGCGTTGCATGGGATCTCCAACTAATGTTCTTGATTTTTCTCAGCATATTTGCATATGTTCCATCCAGTCACCTTTCAAGACGTACAGATGTTTCTGATCGATGCAATAGGACTGGTTCAATCAGTGGCAAATAGAAGAAGAGTTAATAGCACAATGTCTATGATCTGTATTGACCTTAGTAGGGTAATTTTATTAAATATCTTTAAATGAGAGAGAGAATGGAATTGAATGCGAGAGAGAGAGAGAGAGAGAGAAACAGACACTTCCAAAAATCCATTTGCTTGCTACTATCAAGTAGTTTCGGACCACATGCGTTCATTAAGAGGAGAAAATTCTCATTAAAAGATTTGAAGGGAGAAGCTCTCTTTTTTTACAAGGAATTTGCTGGCCTTCTCTTTAATTGTTAATTTGTTAGCTGACGGGCCAATGAAAAGGCACTGAAACGCGCCATATCGTTCCTCTTTTTCTTTTTGGCGGTGGTCGACTTGGGTTTTGGGCCTGGCAACTGACCCTATCAAAAATGTAGTATTTCCGGAATAGCATGTATAACTATTTAAGAAAGAAAGAAAGAAAGAAAGAAGGATAGGAAGAAAGAAATGGGATAAAAATAAAACAAAGAATAACAAGAAAGAAGAAATAAATTAATAAATCAATGAAAAACACAAAGAAAGAAAGAAAGAAAGAAAAAGAAAGAAAGAAAGACAAGAATAAAATAAAATAAAGAAAAACGTATAAAGGAAGGAAGAGAAAAACGTAAAGGAAGAAAGAAAAACATTAATGAAAGAAAGCACGAAAAACAAGAAATACACTAGAAAGAAAAAGGTAAAAGAAAATATATAAGGAAAGAAAGAAAGAAACTGTCTGGAGGATTGAGAAAAAGTAAAACAAACAGAAAGAAAGAAAGAAAGAAAGAAAGAAAGAAAGAAAGAAAGAAAGAAAGAAAGAAATATATGGAATAATAAGTAGGAAAGAAAGAAAAATAAAACAATAAAGAGATGAATAGAATAAGAAAGAAAGAAAGAAAGAAAGAAAGAAAGAAAGAAAGAAAGAAAGAAAGAAAGAAGAAATAAATCGAAAAAGATAACATGAACGAAAGGAAAAAAAAGAACAAAAAGAAACAACGTGTAAAAGGAGAATGAAAGAAATCAAAAGGTGGAACTGAAACTATACAACCAAATAAATCAATAAATCTTTTCTAGCCAGTCAAAAGCTCTACTGAAGAATATTTACTGAAAGTCTTCCTGAAGCATACTTGGTTCTCTTTCCGCTCATAAATACGGAAGTTTGACAATCTGAACTTCACGAGGTTTTGATAATTCGTGTTGCGCATTCAGATGAGTCGAGGCTCAACTGAAACGTAACTGAATCCTGGACATCTGTCACATATTTCCAGGCACCCAAACAAATGTCAGGAAACGGACAGAACCAAAGATGGCTATCGAAACAGCGAAGATGAGAAAATATATCCAAATAATTTGCGCAATAATGACAGACGATAATTTTAGACAGTATTTGCCACTGAAAAGTAGGATAGCGAATAAGCGCGTCTTACACCGTTGCATTTCTCAACGTAACGTAAAGAATTTGATGATAACAAAGAAGTATGCAAAGTGATTTGAGACTATTACCCCAGCATGAGAAATTGGAAAGACGCCATTGTTGAATGAATTTGATGAAATTAAAGAAGAAAAACGATGAAGAAAAAGCGATATATTCCCAGCGGTTCGTAGGAGAATATACGTAAAAAAAATTGGTCATGATCAAAAGAATTGCTGGTTCTCAAATCTGATAAAATTGTAAAATCAAAGAAAGAAAGAAAGAAAGAAAGAAAGAAAGAAAGAAGAAAATAACAAATAAAAAGAGAGAAAAAGAAAGAAAATAATAAGAAAGAAAGAAAAGAAAAAGAAAAAAAGGAATAAATAAAGAAATATATAAAATAACAAATAAAAAGAAAGAAAATAGCAAATAAAGAGAAAGAAAGGAATAAAGAAAGAAAATAACAAATAAAAGGAAAAAGAGAAGATAGAAAATGAAAGAAAATAACAAATAGAAAGAAGGACAGAAAATAAATAATAAGAAAGGACAAAAGAAAAACAGAAAAAAGAATGAAAACAAATAATAAAAAAGAAAGAAAGGAATAAATTAAGAAAGTAAATAAATAAAAAAAAGGAAGACAAGAATAAAAACAATAAAGAAAATAACAAAAAGAAAGAAAAGCATATATAAGAAGAAAGAAAGAAAGAAAAAAGAAAAATAAAGAAAAAAGAAAATAAAGAAAAAATAAAATAAAGAAGAATGAACGGAATAAAGAAAGAAAATGAGTAAAAAGAAGGATATAAAAAAGAAGGAATAAAGAAAGAAAGAAAGTAACAAATAAAAAGAAAGAAAAATAGAAAAAAGAAAGAAAATAGCAAGTAGAAAAAAGAAAATAAGAAATAAAGAGAAAGAAAGGAATAAAGAAAGAAAATAACAAATAAAAGTAAAAAGAAAGAACAAATAGAAAGAAGAAAAGAAAAGAATAAATAAGAAGAAAGGGAGAAAGAAAAGCAGAAAGAAAAGCAGAAAGAAAGAAAAATAGAAAAAGAATGAAAACAATAAATAATAAGAAAGAAAGAAAGAAAGAAAGAAAGAAAGAAAATAATAAACAAAAAGAAAGAAAAGTAGAAAAAAGTAAGAAAATAATAAGAAAGAAAGAAAGAAAGAAAGAAAAATAGAGAAAATAAAAAATAAAATTGAAAGGAAGAAATAGAGAAAATAGCAAATAAAAAGAAAGAAATAAAAAGAAGGAAAATACCAAGAAAGAATGAAAAACAAAGAAACTAAATAAAAAGAAAGTAGAAAAATAGAAAAAAGAAAGAAAATAACAAATAAAAGGAGTGAAAGAAAAATATAAAAAAAAACAAAGAAAAGAACAAATAGAAAGAAAATTGAAAAAAGAAGAAGAAAGAAAATAAATAAAAAGAAAGAAAAAGAAAAAAGGAAGAAATTAACAAAACAAAAATAAATAAAGAAAAGATATAATAAAAAGAAAAACAAGAAAGAAAGAAAAACATATAAAGGAATGAATAGAAAGAAAAACAAAAAAGTAAAGAAAGAGAAGAGAAAGAAAAATATTAATTAAAGAAAAAATGAAAACCAAGAAGGACAGAAAGAAGAAAAAATTTAGAAGAAAAAATATAGGGAAAAAAAATGAAACTGTTTGGAAAAGAAAAAAGTAAAGCTAAAAGATATAAAGAAAGAAAGAAAGAAAGAAAGAAAGAAAGAAAGATAAATCTCTTTGATTATCGAAAAGCTTTCCTCATCTTCATTGATTACTAGCCATCTTTTTAAATGAAAGCAGACGATACTATTAAATTGCTAAAATGTTTTGCATAATTTTAGAAGGTTGTACGTAAGAATGATTCCTCGGGTGCGCCATTTCCTCGTCTTTAAAATCCCGTATCTCTAAATATCTTCTTCCAACAAAATTTTTCAAGCAACATAGTCGTTTTTATTGTCACAGTTTAACACGGTGTATGCATTCGCAACTATTCCTGTTCACTGTGTACATGAGCTTCGCCATATTTGCAATTCTCATTTTTTTTAAATGTCATGCTTCTTCAGGGCGTAGGAGGTCATGATTCTCCACAAATTCCTTTTTTCTTTTATTATCTTTTATATTCATTTATTATTTATTTATATTTATGCATTACTGTAAGCGATATTAAACAATCCGAAGGAGCCCGCTTGATTTATATAACGGGATTGGTCCATTGTTCTGGATAAAACATGTGGAGCATTTCATCTGAGGCAAATAAATTGGTTTCGGAAAAAAATACCATCAGTATTATTTGTATTATTTTCCGTAGATAGACATCACCTTTCACAAGTTCAAATATGATTCTAAAATCAAAGAAAGACAAAAGAAAGAGCGAAAGAAAAATAGAAAAAAGAAAGAAAACAACAAGTAGAAAGAAAGAAAGAAACCAACAAATAAAAAAGAAAGAAAAATAAAAACAGACAGAAAATAACAAATATAGAGAAAAAAGAAGAGAACATATAAAAAATGATAGAAAGAAAGTAAAATGGAAAAAATAGAGAAAATAACAAATAAAAAAAAGAAAAAAAAAAAGAACGTGACAAAAAACAAAGAGAATAAATAAAAAAAGAAAGAAAATAACAAATAAAAAGAAAGTAAAATGGAAAATATAAAACATAAATAGAAAGAAGGAAAAAGAAAGAAAGAAAAGAAAGTAACAAATAAAAAGAAAGTAAAATAAAAATAAAATAACAAGAAAGAAAGAAAGAAAGAAAGAAAGAAACCAACAAATAAAAAAGAAAGAAAAATAAAAACAGACAGAAAATAACAAATATAGAGAAAAAAGAAGAGAAAATAACATATAAAAAATGATAGAAAGAAAGTAAAATGGAAAAAATAGAGAAAATAACAAATAAAAAGAAAGAAAAAAGAACGTGACATAAGAAAAACAAAGAGAATAAATAAAAAAGAAAGAAAATAACAAATAAAAAGAAAGTAAAATGGAAAATATAAAACATAAATAGAAAGAAGGAAAAAGAAAGAAAGAAAAGAAAGTAACAAATAAAAAGAAAGTAAAATAAAAATAAAATAAGAAAGAAAGAAAGAAAGAAAGAAAGAAAAGAAGAAAGAAAGAAAGAAACAAACAAATAAACAAACAAAAATCCCATCAACCAATATATTGTCAGGTCTATTTGAACAACAAAAAAAAGGGATAAAATATCTACTTCAAAAATATTTACGGAATACTTCAATAGACACAGCGACCAAAAATAATTTCTTTTTCGAATTTCTCTTCACGTTTATACAGATCAGATTAAAATGATGAATATCATTTTTTTAATTTATTTTATTCATTCATTCAAGAACAGTGAAAGGATCTTTTTAGGGTAATCATTTTTGTTCAGCAGTAAATTCCACAAACTTTTCAATTAGTTCAATGTTTTTAAATAATTTTACAGAAAATGCCTTTCCTCCTTCGGTTCGTCGATTTAATTTAACTTGAAGAATAATATTTCCAGAACAGATGCTCGATTTAATTACCTACTCCCAAAAATGTCGTTTTTTGAGAAATATAAAATCATCTTTGTTGATTCTAAGAGAAAATAACAATGAATCTTCGTTTTCAATTTGCATTGCTATCTATTGAGATTTGAACGCATAAACACACACATACATACATACATACATACATACATATATATATACATATATGTGTGTGTGTGTGTGTGTGTGTGTCACCGACAAATACAGATTTACTCTTGCGGGAACAAATATCCCAACTCCCTCAGAGAAACCAGTCAAAAATTAATACAAGACATTCGATAGTATGAGATACCGCTACTATCCGTCAGATTATTGACGAGCTAGACACAGCATTATTAAAAATTGATAAATCAGGTCTACCAGGTCGATTTAAAGCGTGGGTATTTCATTACTCATTATTACTGTTGTAGAGTAGTTTTTACAGTGGAGGCTTGTATTTCACTAAGTCGGTCCTAAATTTGGTTAGACTTACAAAACGTTAGGAACTTGAAATAATAGTTAATGACGCAGCAATCTAGTTGTGGGGCTCATACTTTAATGTCCGACATCGACTGACTCACTCAACTCCACTGAGCCCTGGCGACCGCTACTACTACTACTTATTATCTGTGGAAGAGTCTATTAATAATAGAATAGGTATGATCTAGTATAACATCCCCCCCTAAAACTTTACTCCGCGGGAGTTAAAAGTTTTATTTATTTATTTTTTAAATTTTTACAGAAAATATGAAGAAAAAACAATTTTTTTTTTTTTTTTTTTTTTAGCAACATCGTAGCGTATTTCCTACGTTTTTTGATCCACTTTTAAATGATCAGTTGGCTTTCTTCTTTTTTTTTTCTTCTGGATCGGCGTACCTCAAGTAAAATTATTTGCAGGAGTTGTTAGATCAAACTTATTGAAAATCACCTCCATCGGCGTTTTTTTTTTTTTTTTTTTTCGCCGGACCGCTGTCAACCACGTCTGAAAAATGTCTGATCTGTTTATTGCACGTGAGTTTTCCCCTTTCACCAAGTACGTCATATAGCCAATCCGCTTTTCTCTTTTTTTTTTATATCTCCATAGCGTTACCAGAAACAACCATCCGCTTTGCGCTTC